GGATTTAATAAACAAAAAATGTGAATTGGAAGCTGTGGGTGGCTTAAGCAGGGAGGGAACCACAGGGTTTTCAGCTCTCCATTGTAAGCAGAAATGTCTGTGGGTGATGATGTGATTCTTACATAATCCTTGCCTTCTTCAGAGGAGTGTTTTAAGGCTTGATTGCTTTGATAAAAGCAACGTAAGTGCACATTGATTTTTATTATTACTACTACCACAACTACTAGCACATAATACATCCTAGCTCTGCTTCTGAGTGCACACTCAAGGGTTGAGATTAGATGCTGTGGGTTTCCTCTGATGCCATTCTTGGAAACCTCAATTTTGACCTCCAAATCTGTCCTTGTTCTTTCCTGCATCCTAACAGGGATTCACATGCCTGCATTCCCTGGGTGATATGGTCAAACAAACATTATTAATGGCAGAGCAAATAGGAGCTGATTAGCAGGGATTTTTTTTCCATAGTTGATTTACATTTGGTAATTGTGCATTTTCTCATTAGCTTAAGAAAAACGAGATGGGAGCTAAAGAGCTTTTCTTTTTAAATGAATTTATGGCCCTGGGCATTTGTCATTTAATAGCATAATAATGGGAGAAGGAGGGGAAAACGAAAAAATTAAAAATGACATAACTCAGAAAGAAAGACAGATTGTGAGACATGTCAAAGACATGACATTATAAAGTCACACTTACTTTAAGCAGGTGTTGAATAAGGCTTTTCTGAGTAATGAGGCAAGGGGGTAAAAGTCAATTCCTTTCAGCTGTTTAGTGCTGACAGGCAGCCCTGAAGCTTGTTGGAGGTATGTGAACTGGAACCAAAAGCTTAGATTTTTCAAGGATTTTCTCAAAACTGAGAATCTAGTCCCAAGGCAAATCTCTCTCTGTTGTGTTTATTGTTTTTGGAACACAGCACGGCCCCCACCCCTTCCAAGCTAGAAAACACCTAGGAGGGTGTGATTAATTATTTCAATTATGTTTAGATATTATTTCTATTATTGTGCTTGGTGCTGTGCAAACAATGCAAAGTTAGCTCTTACCACAGAGAGCTCACAATCTAAGATTTGGACTAGTAGTATAAGCCTTTTTAAGTCCCTCACCTGCACAGCTTGGAGTTGCTGCTACAGGGCTGGTGAACTAGGACAGACTTCTGTTCCTGCTCTAGGCTGCAGTGGGGAGAGTGGAGAAAGGGACATGAAGTTGGGAGGCAGAGAGTTAATGGGATGGGGGTAGGTAATGAAATGGGAGGTGGAAAGGAAATGGGGGTGCGGGAGGAGCGGTGAAATGAAAAAAGTCAGTTACTGGAGGATAATATGAAAAGAAGTTAAAAAAAAATTAAAAAGAAATAAAGGGGAAGTAAATGAAAGAAAGTCCCATACTTAAATAAATTGGGATTTGGGATTGAAGTGTGGGGGTGCTTGTTGTGCTTCACAGGATGACTGGGATGTGGAAGTAGTGAGGGAAGGAACTTTTTGGGGAGCTACTGCTCCTGCCCCAGGAAGGAAGCCACAGCTCATGGGGACCTGATCTGGCCTCCTACATTGTTCTCCCCCATCTTCCCTAGACTCTACTCCTGGACTTGTCTGTGCTCTGCTACCTAGCTAGCTGGCATGGGCTCTGCAGCCAGTTTACAGAAGGTTGCACCCCTGGAGATGGGAATGTCACATCCCTGGGGGCAGGAGGAGGGTTGCCTTGGTGCCAGAACCACCCCATGAGCAGTAGAGTTCAGGGGGTTGAAAGTTTGTCCACACAGAACAGGAGGGTAGGGGAGCAGACACTGCATCCTGGGGTGCTGAAGGACCGCAACTTGGGTGGTTCATATGTGGGGAGTAGCCACAAATTAATGGAACGTGAGCTGGGTAACACAGATCAGAGATAAATCTGCCCAGGAGTGGCATGACTTAAAAGCTACCTAAAATGAGTTTAAAATTACTCTTGGATGTTAATGTGTGGACAATCCAGGGTTTAAATGCTCCAGAAGCCACCCAAAATTAATGTATAAGGGCCTTATTACACAGTAATTTTGGGCAGTTCCTAGAGCTCTTAATCCAGGGGTGGGCCAAATCTGGCCTGTGAAGCCATTATCTGGCCTGTGGGGCCCCTAAAAAAATTTAGAAAATTAAAGTTTACCTGTCCTTGATTCCTGTCAAAGATGATAGGACGCAAGGGCAGTAGGACCCAGGGGAAGCCCTAGAGAGCTCCTGCAACAGCAGGGCTCACCTGGCCCTGCCCCCCCAGCTGGAATCCCCAGCAGGGGCTTCTGGCCTGGTACCATGTGGCTGCCCCAGTGCAGGAAACTCAGGTAAGGGGGGTGGGGTGGGGATGGGCAGAGGACGAGCTGGTGCTGAGTATGGGGGAAAAGCGGCCCCTCCCCCACCCAGTGCCTTGATCTCCCTGCTGCAGCCACTCGCCGCCCCGGTGGGGGCTCCCCGG